TCAACATGTTAACATTTAACTCAGACGATCGTCAATTATTTAACAGGAAATGAAGAGTTTAGAACATATGAATGATCGGGTGATCAATTTGTAACTTTTAATAATCGGATGACTCAACAAAACATCGTCTTATAGTTGGAAAATAATTTGGTAATTTTTTGTAGTCGAATAATTCAACAAAGCATTGCTTTATAGTTGAAGGACTATTTTGTAACTTTTTATAGACGAATAACTCAACAAAATATCACCCTATAGTTTGGGGACTATTTGTATACTTTACCCATAACTATACTAAATAAAAAGAAATTCGTTTGACCCTCCCATTCCCCCCAAAGTTTTCTGTCAAATTCGGATGACTTATTCCGCATACCTAATTAAATTTACATATCTAAAACTCCAATATTCTCAAAAATATTTCCTTCATTATTCAATATATTACCGAATTTACAGGAGTGAGTGATTTATAAATTAACTTGGGATGACTAGGCGAACAATTTAATCACCTTCCCTGTCATCTCCATCAACCATCACCAACTCGTCATTACTCATTCTACTCGGGCATTATACATTGGCTCGGCTCAGCTTATTTTACCCCCGAATTCAACCAATTACAAAAAAAAATTGAAAAAGAAAGGACAAAAAGTTATAACCCCGCCAACTTACCTTTGTCATTAAGGCAAGTGAAAACTCGTAACTCTAGATTTTTAGTATCCGGCTCCTCAGCACGGTCCAACTCATTGGTTTCAAGTTTTAAACAGAGTTCAATAACTCGGAAATGAGTCGGAATCCCCCGAGTCTGTTTCAATGTTTGTAATATTATCAGAAGGTTTTGTCGCAAAACCCATGAAGTAACGGTCGAGATTCCACCCACAAATCAAATTTACTCTTGATTCCCGAGTGGCACTTCCCTTTAAAGTCTTCCAAGAACCCACCCGAGTGACCCGAATCCGAGCGGGAAATGAACCGGATGACTTCTTCGAAAACGGACTCGTCGCAGGGGATCGTCAGCAGGCCTTGATTACTAAACCCGTACTCTTCCTCGGCTTGGATAAGGAAATTCTTAAAGATGGGGTGGTTGAGGTACGACACGCGCACCACGAATCTCCTGCAACTCGTCCCGACGCATACCGCCACGTGCCCCGCCGGCACATCGGATGGGATGCGGGTGGCTGTCATCCGAGCCTTGTTCCTCCACCGCCGCAGCATTTGCCGGAGCCTCACAATGCAGCGGATTGTGGTACATTTTACAAGTCCGGCCGACATTTCCCCGGGAAACTAGCAATTCAAAGGGAGACTTTGGTTTCAGAGTGGAGATCTTTGTAATGAGAAAAATTGAAACTTTTGAACTGCGGGGGAGTGATAATAGGTTGGGAGAGACGAGGATCTTATAAAAGGGAAAGTACGCTCTGTGTCTGCTGTTGATGAATCAATTAAATGGCCCAAATGTCTTTTCGCATTGGATAATACATAAATTATCTCAATAATTTTGTAGCATAATATCAACAAAAGACGAGCCAAAATTTGTACTAAACAAGTTCCAAATTCGTATTAGAGATGTCACGTAATCTTTAAAGAAAGATTTGTTTGATTTTGATACATTGAACAGAGTAAATGATATGTAGATAATATCATGTGAGTGTTATAACCAGTAATCAGAAAACAGTGTATGTAGCAAAATTTTTATATAAAAAAATTGATATTTCAGTTTACTTTATGATAAAATGTAACTTTTGACCATTTAATAGATTCCGTTTATTATTTTTGTCTCTATCGTATTTTAATATTAATTTAATCCTCGAAATTATTCAATTTCATCATTTTATACTCTATCTCTCATTTAAAATCATAAATTGAGGGTTTAAAGTTAGAGACTAATGTTTAAGTTTTAGGGTTTGAAATTATCAATTTAAGATTTTAAGTTAGAGGTAAAGTATATAATGATACAATTAAATAATTTTAAAAGTTAAATTGATACGAAAATAAAACATCAACGAAAATAATAAATTATGTCTATTATATATAAGCAAAGGTGGGATTGAAGACTCATGCAAATGAAAGACTACTTTTTATGCGTAAAAAGTACGTATGAATTTTACTATTCCAATGCTAATAATTTTGGTGGGGTTGAAGACTTAGACAACATTATAATCTCTTGAAAATAGCTTATCATATATATATATATATTATAATATATATATATATATATATATATAATATATATATATATATATATATATATATATATTGAAATGTGGAGAATCTTGATGTTTTGATAAATTCAAATAAAGATTTTATATTTATTTTTTCGATTAATTATTTTTTAAATTTAATTAATCGTGTATATAATTATATATAAAAAATTCTCAAATATATTATTTTATCATTCTACTAATATAAAAGTGTTTGATTTTGTATTGTAAAAATTAATGTAGCCTAAGAAGAACGCACCGCACCTCATGCAAAAGTGTAGTGAAATTGTTGTCCCTTGTTCTCATATGTAATGGGGTAAGGGGAGGTAAGATAGTAGACTATCCCTAACATTAGGTTGAGAGCAGTTTTCGTAAGAGACCTTCAAATTATGAAATGAAGATGGTTTTGTAGCTGCCTTTAAGAGAAACGATTTTTGGACTCACCATTATATCTGACCAGTTGTCCAATTCCCATGCCCCATGTGCGGGTATGCCCCATATCTCCTTTTATTTATTTCCCCAAACAAGCTGCCAAAATACTCTCTCGCCTCACTGCCCCCCAACCTACTCAAACCCAACTTCTCCCCTGATTATTAAACATATATTTCAAATTGATTATTAAAACCATATTTTAAAATTATATTTGATGTATTGATAATATAAAAGAATTTAATTATAAATCTTTATATATAATGCTTTTGTTAATGTAATAGTGTTTTAGAACTCGAACCTAAATGCCAGAACTGTAAAACTATGTGTTCCTTTTTTTTGATAATTAAAACTAGGGCATGATCCCTTGACTATAGCATAATACATTATTAAGTCCTCCAGATTATTAAAAGTTATAAGATGATCCATTAATTATTGGATGTTACTTTATTAAATCAATCGACTATTTAAAATTACAAAACGATCGTTTAAATTGAACATTAACATGTTGATTATTTTTATATATAATACTTAGCATTTTATATTATAAATACTAAGAGTGGCGGGCAGTCTCTGAATGGATTGCAAGAGAAACGTAACAATCGAGGAATACGTTTGGAAAGAGAGAGGGACCCACAATCTTACCGAATGGGGGAATTAAGAGATTATTATATTTTGTATAGCGGGTCGAATTAAGTAATTTTAATCATAAACAAATTATTGTTATTTTTTAAATTTTAAATTTAAGTATAAAAAAATACTATAGATATAAACGTTTAATATTAAAAGATTAAAAGTTATATTTAAATAAATATTATCTTATATTTATTTTAAATTAATAAAATTATATATATATATATATATATATATATATATATATATATATATTGTGTGGCTGAAGAGTTTGGTAAAAAGTTGGTGTCTAGGTTCGTAGCCGCTTAGTTGTACTGATACGTGTCACGGGCCTCACGGACCCCACGGCTTTGGCTTTCCCCCACCCCCATATATATATATATATATATATATATATATATATATATGATCAAAATTTCCAACTATATAGAATTCTATATTTATACTTTTTAAAATAATTAATATCAGATCACACTAATTTTATAATTGTTTATAAAATTTATTAATTTTATGAATTTTTAATTAAAATGATCACCATAAATCTTATTATTCTTTCTAGAGTATTTTAACATTTGATGTTTTAATTTAACATGAGAAATAATTAATTGATTAACTGTTAATGTGTGTTGTTAATGTGAAATTATTACATGTATTTAATTGATGATGTATCATATAGAATATTATCATCTTAATTGACATAACATTATTGATATGATATTTTTATATGCGTTAATTGTTGATGTGTCACATGTCATAACACATCATCATCTTCGGTTATATGACACACATCCTGTCATCAACTTAAGAGAAGTAGTATATATCACGTCATCACTTTAAGTGATGTAACACATGTCACGTCATTACAATGAAAGATATGATGTGTAATATTGGATTTAATATAAATAAAAATAACACATCAACAATATATGTTAATTGTTAGTTGATTAATCGTGTAAATGTTTAATAGTCTAAATTTTTATATGATATTAAATTAAATATTATCATTGATTTGCTATCACATTTGTCAAGTTGTAACTTTATTGTTAGTCACCTTATCTATTTTTCTTGACGATGAATGTGACTCAAATTTGATATGTAATTACTTGAAGACCGAAGAGTTAACACCATAATAACATAGCACATGCAATTTGCTTTTGTCTCATCTTCGCCAACCTGTATACATTGGCCCCGTTTTTCCTTTTCACAAACAATTCTGAGTATACAGTAGAATCTATAAAAGAAATAGAATGAAGATACTTTGCTTTGTGTGGCGATGGATGACACAGAGATTAAAAACCATAACCAGACATGGGAGATGATATTAAGGTGGAACCAAGACGTATGTTTGTTCCTTTTGTTTTTTCTTTTCGCAATAATTATATATACATTTCAATTTTTAAACTTGATTTTTGTTGAATTAAGTCCGACAGAGTTTGGTGTTAGCAGATAATTATAAGTGTTTGAATCCAAATTAATAGCTGGAACATCGTAAGCATTGATAGCAAGGAATTTAAGACTATATTCTTTTTTATATATATATAGTGTTTTTATTGAGGAATTAATTAAGAATAAAATAGTAAGAAGGCGAACGTGAGGGTGTCTACTGTCTTGTAGTTGTAGTACCTCCTCCAGAATCCCCTCCAATAATCTAATTCAGCTCAGCTTTGTTGGGTTACACATCACAACTTTGGATTAATATGTTATTTTTTTATTAAGTAGGGAAATATTATATTTTTAAGATATATGTTAGGATTTAGATCTAATATAAAATAAGATAATATGAATACTTTTATCATTCTACCAATAAATAGATATATGGATTAATATGTTATCAAACTTGAATTATATTTTTACCATTTGACCAATTAATATGGACATTTTTATCCGCTTTTCATTATTTTTTATTGGCTTTATTATAGGGTATACTTATTTTTTTATTCTTAATAATTGTCTTTTTTGCATGTCTTTTTTGATTTTATGGTACGTTTTCGGTTGTTTGACCATTGTTTTCATTTATTATTTTTTAGGATTGGAATTGGCATCGTCATGACTGATCAAAATATCGCTTATTTATTATCATGATGATCTTCCCTGCTTTTGACCCTTAGATTAGATTTGAATATGCGATTTGTGTTCGTGGATAGTATTCACATCGTTCGATTCTGATTTGCGATTTGTTGGTGGTATTTCAATAGCTTTATTTTCTTTTATGGTTCGTTTGCCGATTCGGTCAGATCTATTCGTGTTTACCTCTTATTCAAGTTTATTTGATTAGGTTTTTTTTAACCTTTTCCTCGTATGATCCTTGTGTGATCTTAAGTGGCTAGTTTTCTTGTATTTCGAAAAATATTCTTATTATGTGCTTAATTCACCGTTGTAGTTGTAGACCTTGATTATAATTTAAGTATTTTTTATTTTTAATAAATTTAACGAATTCTATTAAAAAACTTTAAAAATAAATTAAAATATCGTAAATCAAAAGAAATATCAGTTAAATAGTATTTATTTTACTTATGGGAAAGGCATCAAATTAGAGTTTGACTAACATAAAATATTCCAGGTTGCACAGCTGCAAATAGTTTGGAGGTAAGAGAACAAACAATTCAATGACCCATCGATTCCCCATCTGCTAATTGGAATTGCAAGAATGTGTGGACTAAATTTTGGAAGCGTCCTATGATTAATGAACTTCCTTGTCAATCGTACAACTATTTAATACAAGCAATTATTGTATTTTTTTTAATTTTAAATTCAGAATACCTCTATTCAGTTCATCTGGCCACTAAACTAGTATCCAACAAAATTAAGATATATATTAAGCCATCGAATTTATGGCAACATTAATGAAAAAACCATTTGGATATTGAAGTTAACTAACAACTAATACTTTATTATAATGAAGATTTATGAGGGACACTATTATGACTCACAAATTCATGGTTGGGTCTTCAAAGTTAAGGATTATCCTAATTACATCAGGATTGCACTAACTAGCATACGTGATAAGTCACGGCGTTAACGTTGTAAAAAAATTAATGGTCTAATTAATATCTTTGTTAAAGTCAAAGCAATTTGATTAAAAGAAAATTTGAGACTAAATTTAGTTCAATAACTATAAAAACTTATAAATATTAAGAATTAAAGTTATCAATATTTATATAAGATATGTATAATTATATGTGACATGAAATGTTGTTTTGACTCGAGCTCGAGTAATTGTGTTTGTAAGACGTGTGTACATCATCGCTAAAAAATATTCTAAATAATTACTACTTTGTAATCACTATGTAATTTTATATGAAAAAGAATATCTATATCCGACAGTTACGTGTTACGTCCAAATTCAAGTAATGTAGTTTGAGGTTAATGGGGCTGAATTCTTGCAGAAACTCGAGGCAGCTATGTGTTTATCATGAACATGTATAAAATCAACATCGCATGAATAAAAGATCTTCCAAATCCATTCAGAACATGGAGACACAGAAAAATGCCAGGTTTTTTTAGTAAACTAATGAATAATTTCGAAGTTGTAAACAAATGTCTCCCCACGCTGATGCAAACATGATTGGAGCTAGGAGTTTAACTGTCCCGTCAATAAAACCAAGGCAGAATTAAGCTACAATTTACCTGGACCATGTTACAATCCCGGACTGTATGGGGGAACTTGGTTGTTGCTTCGGTATAATCTTCTTCTGTATTTTTTCCAGTTAAAAAAATCATATATCACATGGGTTCTTTTCATCATTTTTCATTCAACTGCAAAGAGAGGTATATATATAGGTTATTTGGTGAAAGAAACCTCATACCTGATAATGAGGTAAACGATTAAGACTGGAGCTGAAATGAATATAATATGTATTACTTTCAACTGCATAAACAAGGATCTGTGTATATTTGTTATCTGGAAGCCGCCCAAAATATGGATCCAGGTCCAGCAGCAGGGCCAATCATAAATATAACATGGTGCCTGCTTCAACCAAGGAAATCTCAAGCCACCATAAAAATGATTGACCAACCAACACCAATGTCCATTATTTTTTTTCTCTCAATAAAAAACACTTGGATATTTAGATTTACACTCATTTGAGTTGCAGAGAGTCCATTGTCTACTTTGATGCAAGGATTGTGTGTGACTATATAAAAGAAAAACATGCAATTTTCCTGCCAACCAAAAGGGTGCACATTAACTATTAAGAAAAGAATTTCTCACTGCTCATAAATTCAGGCACAATCGTTCATCAGCTGATGAGAAGTTTTGGGGGGCAACGAGCTAATGAAATTGTAAACATTTTAGTTAAATTGAAAATACAATGACCAATGCATTTGCTTTCCTTTTTTGAAAAAATAAAATAAAAAAATACACTTCTCTACAATGAGAGAACAAAATTTCCCAGGGACTGGGACTCTTAGGCCTTCCGCGACCATCCCCTCGTACCCTTTTTTCTTTGAGAGGACTGCGAACTTTTGTTTGCAGCAAGGTGACCTTTTCCGCATCCTTTACCTTTTCCTCCTGAGGCAGACTTCTTTGTACCTTTACCTCTGCCTTTGCCAGAAGCCTCACCATTGATGTGATCCTCACTGCTGTCACTCTCGTCATCACTATTCTCTTCTTCCTCTGTGTCAGATACATCATTTGCAAACTTCCTCTTCTTTGAGGAAGGCTGAGTTTTACTATAACCCTTTTTGTTTTGCTTAGGAGCTGAAGTTTCATTATCTAGTACATTGTTCTCTGAAGTCAGGATGATTTATAGATTAGTTTCCATGTCAAACTCTCGTCACTTAAATATTCAATAGTTGATAACTTGACAATCTAAGACAACAATCTTTTAGTAATGTTATTACCCAAATCATTTATGAAGTCCCGATTAATTGAAAACCGTGGAGATACCGAGACAGAGACACATACCTTCACCAGAAGCTTTAACATCATGAATGTCCAGCTGCGAAAAACATAAAACATTTAGACATAAATCTTTGTATTTCAACATTAACAAAGGGATCGGCTAGTACAAGACACCATAAAGTTATCAAGGTAATCTCTAATATTGGGGGGGGGGGGATTACAAATTTACCTGGTCAAGCCTATCACCAACATTTGTTTTATCAACAACGACCATTGAATGGCCCATACCACAGGCAACACTACACAGATATTCAAAAGAATTCATCAGTATCATCCTGTCCAGAGAAGATAAGAGCATATAGTATTATAGATGCATGAAGTTATTGTTAATTTATCCACCTGACAACATGCATGCCCTCCAGAATGTCTACCTTTTCCGGAACAGCGGAAGACCTAAACAGAAGACACAAGATTAAGTAAATAGAATATAGGGAGAGAGGCTACAAATAAAAAGCTGTAAGAACAAGTAACAACATATACTTTTGTCCGGCGGGACCATATCCCAACTCTCCATACTGAGCATGGCCCCAGCTTATGCAGGACAAGTCCGCACCAACAAAATGGTGCATATTGCCTGAATCCATGCAACGTAAATTCCAGCCACTGGGAAGGAAAGGGAAAACATAGTGCCTCAGATATATTTACAGACTAAAACTAGCAGGGTGAAAATTTACGGACTTCAACCCCTTAAGACTACACATAAAGCGAAGAATCAAAATGACAAAATAAAAGAACATAACAGTTGAAAAGATGTCAATACAAATCAATGATTTATTTCATTCATTTGGAGGGAACAGATAAGGCACTTTAAGCACGCTTTAAAACTACAGATACACATAACAATGTGGATACAAAAAATAAGGTGTAACGACTCATTGGAAGGGAGGAAAAAGCACAGTAACCAAGAACTGTGAAAACATAACAATGTGGATACATCAATACCAAAAGCAAAAACAGCCAATCATTGTGATCGTAGAGAAGCTAACATTAAGAATAACATATGTATGAGTTTAAAGAAAAACATTAAATCCATGAGAGGTTTGGGATACATCCAGTCATCACCAGTATTCTTTATTTTGCCCCACATATATAGCTGGCCACCACCTGGAAAACAAAAAAGAACAGAACATAATCACCTTGAAATTTATAAAAAGGCCTATCATGGCATCACTTTTCCCTTTAACCCTCACTTGACCCTTCATAAAATATGAAAAATCTTTAATTTTTCCCATTAATAGAGTTTTAGCAACCGGACTATTACCCTCCCAAACAATACCTGCAGTACATGCTGAATTTACAGAACCTGCTGAAACAATTGCATTGGGGGGAAGGACATTGTGCCTTTGGAATACTTCAACTAGACGAGGAACCCACTCATCCTTCTGCTCTCTGTGCCCAAGCCTGCACATGTTATTTAGGAATTACATGCAGTAAAAAAAGGGAAAAATAAACAAGTAGAATAAAGGATTTATGTGCTGTAAAAACACATCAAATACTGGGACGAAGCATAAGTAAACAGTGGCGTGTATGGCACTAACCTTCCATAACCACCGAAGCCCCACCTAGACATTCATGTAACAAAAGTCAATTGCTTACAAACAAGAAAAATCTAAAACATATCCACAATAATCAGCAGTGAACTTACATGTAAACATAACCATTTGTATCCACAGTGACTGGATGCACAAAAAGTAGAAATATAAACAATGAGATAAATGATTAAGTAGTCGTTGTAGCAGAAGAAGAAGATGAGGAGGAGGGGGTTTTGGGGAGAAGAGAGGGAGGATGAATAAAACAAGAAAGAGAATAGGCATATCATGAACCTGTATGGTCTGTCCCACATGCAACTTTGACAATAGTTACCCCAGAAAGAGTAGCTATAGCTCTAGGGCGTGGTTGGGCTTCATAAACAAGCCTCACTGAGCTATCCTTAGCATTATACTGCAAGCATATAGGAATCATGCAAACATCCAAGGAGAAAAGCAAGTCAATCTATTGATAGATTTATCGCAGCTAGCAACTACACTTATATTGATTAGATACATCATGCATAACTTTGTGAGTGATACTTTGCGGCAGAAATTTGAACAAGACTCGTCAAAGCTAACTTATCTTCTCCACATACCTCATTGTCTGTTCCATGACCAAGCTGGCCGTACTGGGGAAGCCCTGCAGTTCTACAGACCAAAAAACAAGTTCAGATTCTGCAAAAATGTACACAATAAAAGGGAATTTTAGACAATTAAAATAAAGATACAGAATTAAAAGAACACAAACCATACAGTATAGATGCTCCTTCAGCAGATGATAACCAGACAGTGAATTCAGCTCCACAGGCAACATTTGTAACTTGAGACACAAGACAGCGAACAGGAGATGACTCGACTTCTACAAAAATGATAAATTGATAAACATATGAAACAAAAAGTCAACATCCATGGAGAATTTAACAACTAAGAAACCAAAACACCTAGAATGACATCATACTAGTACTAATCAAAATCAACAGAACCAACCATTTTTTGTGGAACCTGAACCAAGCTGCCCATGCTTATTCCAGCCAAATGCCAAGGAATTACCATCATCAGTAACTACCACTGTGTGGCTCCTTCCCCCTCCTGCTTTGATTATTTTATACCTTCAACACAGATGCAACATAGTTCAAATTAACCATCACTTCCAGAAAATTAATAAATACAGACAGGACTAAGTTTATTAACAGAACAAAAGAACATACTTTAAGAGTTCAAAAACAACAGTTGGCCTGTCACGCTGGATTCTATCTCCATGACCCAGTTGCCCTTTCTAAGCATAAAACGTAAAGCTCTATCAGTTACTATTAACAACATCAAAATACCATCAACAACACGCATTTAACAACAACATTAAAAATGCTGAGCTTTTTCATGCCTCATTACGACCCCACGTGTAGCACCGCCCCTCGACATCCAATGCAACGCAATGACATGACACTGCAACCAAAACAAATATTGTTTAAAAGAATTATATATATCAAATGTATATCAACGGGTAAAATAGAAATTCACCACAGCCGGAGGCAACGAACCGGACATCAACGCCGATGAGAGGGCGGAGGCTAGTGGGAGAGATCAAGTTTCCTTCAACTGTACCTTTGCGGCGACCAACGATATCCCAACCCGTGGAGCCACAGAACAAGAGCTCTCCTCCTTTCTTCTTCTCTTCCTCGTCATCCTCCACCCTCTTCTCCGCTTCGTTCGTCGACATTTTCAGGCTAAACAAAGTCAAAGCTTTGACACACACAAATACACAAAAAGGAGGCAATGAAGCCCGATCTAGCGTATTTGAAGAGGGAGGAAGGAGCCCAGATGATGGAGAAAATGGCGGGAAAGTGAACAACGGCTAGTAAGAAGGGTATCGCAAAGAGTAAGCAGCAAGGTGAAAAAAATAAGGGGAGAAGAACCGGATAGGGAAAACGTTTCAAGAGAAGAGGATAACAAGGGATTGCTCTTTACTCCTTTTATCATTAGCCGTGGGGGGAGAGAGAAATGCAATTTGCAAGTAAAAGAGAAGTTGTTGCCCTTTTCAAATTTCAAAATACTGGCTTTTTCTATGTTCCAATGCCATTTCTTTTGATTTGCATTTGTATTTGTTGAAAATCTGAAATTCAAAATCACACCTGCACTCGTTTGTTTAATGAACGGATTATAAACTATTTTTAACGTAAACTAATTGAACATAAATCATTTGAATCAAATACGATCGATAATGATAACAAAATTAAAGTATGTTTCAAATCCTTATTTTTTTCTTCTATATTTATTGATCTGATATTTTGTAATAAAAGAAAGGAAGTTTTGTAACTGAGAAAATATCATTATAATAATTTTGATAGTGGAATTTAAAAAAATAATAAGAATTAAACCTAAACTTATCAAGTAATTTCAATGGTAAAAGTAAATAAATGTTAATTTTCCTAGAGATCTTGAGTCGAGCAATAACGTATGTAGGATGTGTGTACATTGTCAATAAGTTTGAACATATACTACTATATAACCACCTTAAACTATTCAAAACAAATGAACTTAAAAACATAAGAGAGAGATTTAAAATGTTGATCATTTTGTTATAGAACATTTCGAATCGTCATAACAACCAACTCCAAAAGTTGGGCATGTGGTTAATGCGGCATGGATTCTTAGATCTGATTTCAAGGAAGCCTCCGGATGCACCTTTGGCACTCCCCGTGCGTCACCTTTAATACGTTACAAGCTATGGAACAAACCTTCTGAGAACCGAATCAGAATTAATGTGGATGACTTGTTCCTTACAAACTCTGGAGAAGCAGTTAGTGGGGTGATGGCCTGAGACCACCATGGGATGTTGGTAAGCGGTATCGCACGCATGTTTAACGGATCGCACATTACAGAATCGACTAAGGCAGCGGTTTTCATGTCCGATCTACGTATGTCGATGGATAATATTTGGGATCATATGATCATTGAGGGAGACGTTATTTTCATTGTGAACCATCTAACTAATCACGACGAAGACAATTTAGTGATTGGATTGTTTCTCAACGTAGCTTGTGTCATTCTTGACAGATCCCTGACCTGCAAACTCCAACATATTAATTGAGAGACTCACTAAATTGCCCAAACATTTGTGCATTGGGCTTTGTCGAGCACCAATCCTCATTGGTTTGAGATGGATGAACTGTAATGTATTAAAAATGATGTAGTCCTAGATGCTATTAACATTTGAATGTTTTTTTAAAGAAGTAAATTGACTAAAGAGTTATTAAATCCAAATGCTCAAATAATACATGAGCTTATAACATATTGTAATCTTAAAATAAATATTAACAATAAAAAGAAGAAAAATTCTACAACACTCGTCTAGCGTGGATGAGCACCATTAAATTAATTTATAAAACGTTAAATTATAAAGTACTAAATGCAGAATAATAAATTAGTTAAAAATCTAAATGTAATTTAATTAAAATACAACATTTATAAAACATTAGTTTTTAGGGTAAACTATATTGTCACGGACCGCGAGCCCACAACCGAGTTCAACACAAGATAACTAGCCCAAGAATACTAAGTGACATTTTGGATCTTCCTGGACCCATGAAGATTGGCCCATTCCATGGAGATGAAGAGCCTTGCACATGGCAGAAGAATCCTTGGTTTAATGCAAAATCCTCCTGATTCTTTCCATAAACTTTGTAATCTTTTATCTAAGGTAACATATAACTAGCTTGATAGAGTTTCCTTTGTTAAGAGAAGATTTTGTAATCACGATTCCTTGATTTGTGGGATTTAGGAGATTGTATTCCATCTAGGCCGTTGATGTACTTAGATCTTAACCGTTCATTGAGAGGAGATTCCACTATAAATAAAGGCCTCTCCTCCTCATTTGTATTCACTTCTTCATTTTGAGAAATCACATAACATTCTCTCAAAGTTCTCTTTTCTTGCTTTTGTGCTAGTTCTCTTTTTCTTTGCTTCCGTTGAGAATCTAAGCATCTTTGATTGGGTTGTTTTCACGTTGACTTAGCCGCAATCATAGAGAAGGTGATTAAGGACGCACGTTCGAGGCGTTGAAGTTCCAAGGGCATGACAAGTGACATCAGAGCTAGTTTTGCGAGAAATGGCACAATAAAACCATGACGAGGTCCCATCAGCCACCGAAGTGATGGGGACTCGTGTTGTTACGGTGAAGAAGCGATAAAGCTCGAAGGATGTCGTGGCATCATTTGAGCAAAGGGTTGGTAGGCTTGAAGATCGGTATAATGAAGTCAAGGAGACTCAGGATTTGATTGAATCTCGCTTGGAGAAGCTAGAGTCTGTGGAGGAAGGACTTGGCTAGGAAACTCAAGCACTCATCAACGAGATGGCAGAGAATTTGGATGAGCGTACCAGAGGCCTTGAGAGCATGTACTTGGCCATGAGGGCTGAAATGATGCGGGAGGTGAAGGAGCTCAAGAGTGAGCTTCTTGTTTATAAGTCTATTGTGTTAAATAGGGTGATTGGGGAGGAGCAGACACCTAAACCCAGGACCAACGTCCCTAAGCCGAAAGAGTTCAAGGGGAGTCGAACTGCCCAAGATGTGGAGAATTTCATCTGGGGCATGGAGTAATTCTTCGAGGCGTGGGTATCGGGGATGATGCCACCAAGGTAAATGTTGCTCAAATTATCTTATTGATGATGTTATGTTATGTTATGGTGGCCACGTAGGTGTTCCAAGAAGGCAACTCCGGTCGGGATATGAGAGGAGTTCGTGGGAGAATTCAAAGAGCATTTCTATCCGAAGAATGCTCCGCTCGAGGCTCGAACAAAATTGAAGTAGTTGAAACATGACCTTTCATCTTGGAGTATGTCAAGAACTTCACTGAGATAAAGATATAAATTCCCAACTTGGGGGAGTCAGAAGGGTTCTTTGCATTCATGGATGGACTACAACATTGGGCCAACTTGGAGATACAGATGAGGGGAACGACTGAACTCTCCAAGGCATTGGATTCAGCCGAGGCCATTGCCCCATTTGAAGTAAAGAATACCGACTCTCTCAAATTAAAGCCAAAGCCCAAAAGTAATGGTGGGGAAGAGAATGCCAAATGAGGCTCCCACAAGTCAGCAGGGGGTAATAAGAAGCAGAATAATCGACCCAAGAAGCTCTCCAATCCTTTGGAGAAGAAGGGTGACCTATCATTCTTCAATTGTGGAGGGAATCACATGAAGAGAGATTGTCCTTAGCTTGTGAAAGTTGCAACCATCAAGGAGAATGATGGGAAGAGGAGACCTTGAAGCTTGGTTCCATCATTAGTTTCATAGAGATCAAGAAGGGTCACAAGAAGAATGGACTGATGTATGTAGACATCACCATGGCGGGCTAAAAGATAAGTGCACTAATGGACACAAGTGCCTCAAAGTTGTTATTGTCTGAACAAGTTGCCAAGAAACTTGGTCTTCGTGTGGAGAAAACAAATGGGTTTATTAAAACCATCAATTCCAAGGAGGTTCCGATTGTTGGGGAAGCAAAAGGAATCAATCTCAAAATTGGAGGATGGACCGAGAAAAAGTCCATAAAGGTAATCCCACTCGATGATTTTAACTTTGTTATTGGGATTAATTTCTTTGATCGGATTAATGAGTTTCCCTTGTCGTTTGCCGATAGCCTAGTAATTTGTGATCTGAAACACCAATACATTGTTTCGGTGAGTCGAGAGTCTGAAGTTGATGCCAAGATGTTGTCCGCGATCCAACTCTCAAAGGGGGTGCATAGGGAGGAACCTATCTTTGTGGCTTCATTGGTGGGAGATGAGCCCACACTGACCAAGGAAGTCCCCAATAAAGTGGGAAAAGTATTGGTAGAGTTTAGGGATGTGATGTCAACTGATTTGTCGAAGTGCTTGCCACCGAAAAGAGAGGTAGACCACAAGATTGAGCTCGTGTCGAATGTGGAGCCACTCGCTAGGGCACCCTACCGTATGGTCCCATCGAAGTTAGAGGAGCTTCACAGACAGTTGAAAGAGCTTTTAGATACGGGGTATATCTGACCGTCAAAGGCACCCTTTGGTGTACCAGTGCTATTCCAGAAGAAATATGATGGCTCCCTCCGAATGTGCATCGACTATTGAGCTTTGAACAAGCTCACCATGAAGAATAAGTGCCCGATCCCGTTGATTATCAACTTATTTGATCAACTTGGTAGTGCGAGGTGGTTCACCAAGTTGGATTTGCGGTCTGGATATTACCAAGTCAGGATAGCCAAAGGTGATGAACCGAAAACTGCTTGTGTGATGCGCTACAGTTTGAATGAGTTTCTTGTGATGCCCTTTGGCCTCATAAATGCCCCCGCTACCTTCTGTATGTTGATGAATAATGTACTACAACCCTTTCTCGATCGTTTCATTGTAGTTTACCTTGATAACATTATGGTGTATAGTAAGACCTTGGAGGAACACGTTGAGAACTTGAGAAGGGTATTCCAAGTCTTACGAGAGAACGAGCTCTATGTTAAAAAGGAAAAGTGCTCGTTTACGTAGAATGAGGTGTCATTTCTAAGCCATGTCGTTGGAGGAGGCAAGTTCCATATAGATAGGGACAATATTTAGGTGATTGATGAATGGAAGCCACCCACCAAGGCGACCGAGTTGAGAGAATTCTTGGGATTAGCCAACTACTACCGATGGTTAATGAAGTGTTATTCCAAGATTGCCACACCTTTGACCAAATTGCTCAAGAAGGACAAGGTGTGAGAGTGGAGCACAGAGTGTCAGGAGGCTTTTGAAAAGATTAAGGAAGTCATGGTAAGTGAGCCCGTATTGGTGTTGCCATATTACACCAAGTCTTTTATAGTTTTCATCGATGCATCCAATGTTGCTATTGATAGAGTCCTTATACAAGAGGAA